CGGACGCCGCAGCAGCTGCATCTGGCCACCGCAAAAAAATCCGCACCGAACAGCTCCACTGCGACTGCCACGACGGGCGCTGCCACCACTCCAGCTGCCGTCACCACCGCCGTCATAGCGGGCCAAGTAAGGAGGCGTGCGACCAATAGGGCAGTACGGAGGGAAGGCAGTAGCTTGAGCAGCAGTAGCAGTAGGAATAGCAGCACAGCGGCTCGGTGAGGCTAGGCTGCAGCACCTCCAGCACTCCTAGCAGTACCTCCACCAGATGCAGCAGTAGCACGAGCAGCAGGGTGGATCGGGTTGGGCAGGGCGGCTCAAGCTAGGCGGCGCGACTCGGCCTGGGCAGCGCGGGCAGCAGGGCGCGCTGCGCGGGCTGCAGCAGGGCGCGACGCGCGGGCTGTAGCAGGGCGCGACGCGCGGGCTGCAACAGAGCGCGACGCGCGGGGCAGCAGGGCGCGACGCGCAGGCTGTAGCAGGGCGCGACGGCGGGCTGCAGCAGGGTGTGACGCGCGGGGCAGTAGGGCGCGACGCGCGGGCTGCAGCAGGGCGCGACGTGCGGGGCAGCAGGGCGCGATGCGCGGGGCAGACGTAGGGCGCGACACGCAAGGCAGCAGGGCGCGACGCGCAAGGCAGCAAGGCGCGACGTGCGGGCTGCAACAGGGCGCGACGCGCAGGGCAGCAGAGCGCGAGCTGCAGCAGGATGCGGGGCAAGGCATGGCGCGCGCGGGGCAGCGCGACGCAAGGTAGGGCAGGGCGTGCGCAAGGCAGCGCGACGCAAGGCAGAGCAGGGCGTGCGCGGGGCAGCGCGACGCAAGGCAGGGCAGGGCGTGCGAGGGGCAGCGCGACGCAAGGCAGGGCAGGGCGTGCGCGGGGCAGCGCAACGCAAGGCAGGGCAGGGCGTGCGCGGGGCAGCGCGACGCAAGGCAGGGCAGGGCAGGACGCGCGCTGTCGGCGCAACGCAGGGCAGGGCGTGGGGTAACGCGGTAATCGCAGTCGGTCACTAAGTAATGGTGGGCCCGAAAAAAAAAACGGTCCTGCTCTGATACCATGTCAGAAATTAACGAGCAGGAATGATTTCATTGACATCAAAATGAGTACAAGTATAACCCTTATTGGGTTGTACCCCATAAAGGCTACCTCACTACAGCCTACACAACACAAGTAGCATTATAGTTTGACAGTACTTAGCTGTATATATAAGTCTACATGATTGGGACTGTGTGATGCTTTCAACCTCAACTTGGAACAAATACGGCGGTTGACCTTGTTGCACCTCAATGAAAATGCTTTCCATCCCTGTACCCCCTTACCCTCTGAGTCTGCTTGCACGCAGTCCATAGGGACAGCCTGCTACTACTCTGTAGACTGATATGCAGCGTGTGTGCCTGACCAGCTCTACAGTAGTGGCACTTCACACGATGAATGGGTATGGTTGGCTTCGATTGAGTATGAGACTACCACAGTAGTTGAAACAGACTTTAAAAAACCCTGTAAAGCACAACACCTACAGCTCTACAAACGTTTCTCAAGCAAACATCCCTAGCTAAAGTGCACTGGTTGGTACAAACACACTACCGGGACTATCTAGAGAAAGAGAGAAGGGGTCTTATTGACTAGTAAGGAGAAGAAGAGGTCTTATTCAATGGAGGAGAGAAACCATTCAACAAGTTGATGTTGTTTTAAACATGACTAAGTCAGTGCGGCCATCCCAAGCTGTCCTACCTACACATAATTGAGCCGCCTGTAACATGCTGTTGGCCCCTGGTCAATGGTAACAATGGGAGGACAAACAGGATAAGATGAGTCACAAGGTTTCACCTATAATGATTGGTGAAGAAAGGGAAGAGGAGAAGATGTGCAGGCGTGCAAGAGGAGAACGGCCAATCACTCACAGCGCAGGTGGGTGCAGGTGGGTGCAGGTGGGTGCAGGTGGGTGCAGGTGGGTGCAGGTGGGTGCAAGTGGGTGCAGGTGGGTGCAGGTGGGTGCAGGTGGGTGCAGGTGGGTGCAGGTGGGTGCAGGTGGGTGCAGGTGGGTGCAGGTGGGTGCAGGTGGGTGCAGGTGGGTGTAGGTGGGTGTAGGTGGGTGCAGGTGGGTGTAGGTGGGTGCAGGTGGGTGCAGGTGGGTGCAGGTGGGTGCAGGTGGGTGCAGGTGGGTGCAGGTGGGTGCAGGTGGAACAGGTTCTATCACTTACGATATAGCACGTCCCCTCAAAAGGTCCTGAGATGCTTGCTCGAGTGGCCACTCTTCGTTGTAAGCTTTGCCTTGACAATTGTTTGAATTGTAGAACTTAATATTGCTGCAAGCGGGAGCATCACCAATGTTGTCCATGCCATATATTATTGTGACCAGGCCAAGCGCTTTTTCCGGGATCGGAGTGCACACATTCAGCCTGAGGCGGAAGGTGTAGGCATACGTGTCGTTCATGACGTATGTGTAGCTGTAGGAAGAGACAGTGGGATGTCTACCTGTGATAAATGTGATAAAGAGGGGCACAAAGGAAGGAGTGAGAGCATTGTTGGAATCACGTTTGAGAATTCTCAGAAATTAGTTCAACGTATGTGTAGCTGTAGGAAGAGACAGTGAGATGTCTATTTGTGAAAAAGAGGGACACAAAGGAAGGACTCAGTGTGTTGATTGTCACCAGCACAAAGGAAGGACGTTCAAACACTCCTACATGCATGCCACATCCCCACGAGCATTCGACCAACTTGGCAGAGTGAGGAAGGTGAAGCAAAGAGTGGGATGAGTGGGATTGGGGAGAGTGGGACGGGCAGGGAGAGCATGCATCAACGAAGCTCACCCTGAACACAGTCGGTTGGGGTTTTTGAGACGCCTCATAAGAACTTCAATATCACAAGAGCATGCATGAAGGAAGCTCACCCTGAACACAGTCGGTTGAGGTTATCCCATAGCCGTCAGGGCACGAACAGTACGGAACTGACAACATTGGATCAGGAGTAAATGCAGGTAGAGTCTGGAGTAATAGCTTAGATTTGCAGGTGGCTCCAGAGGGACAGGCGCCACAGAGTGAGGCTGAGGGGTGGGGATGGGTGCAGTGCGGTATGTGAGTAAATGCAAGGGGGGGATTGAGGTTTAGAGGGCAGGCGCCACACAGAGAGGCTGAAGAACGCAGGAAGCACGGGAGAGGGAATGGATGGGGTGAGGGATGGGCGTGGTTGTGAATCCACTCATTGACAGAGCAGGAAAGAGCACTCATCCCTGGCAGACCAGGAAAGAACCCATATCACTAGCAGAGCAGGAAAGAAGTCACCTCACTGGCAGACAGAGCAGGAAAGAAGTCACCTCACTGGCAGACAGAGCAGGAAAGAAGTCACCTCACTGGCAGACAGAGCAGGAAAGAAGTCACCTCACTGGCAGACAGAGCAGGAAAGAAGTCACCTCACTGGCAGACAGAGCAGGAAAGAAGTCACCTCACTGGCAGACAGAGCAGGAAAGAAGTCACCTCACTGGCAGACAGAGCAGGAAAGAAGTCACCTCACTGGCAGACAGAGCAGGAAAGAAGTCACCTCACTGGCAGACAGAGCAGGAAAGAAGTCACCTCACTGGCAGACAGAGCAGGAAAGAAGTCACCTCACTGGCAGACAGAGCAGGAAAGAAGTCACCTCACTGGCAGACAGAGCAGGAAAGAAGTCACCTCACTGGCAGACAGAGCAGGAAAGAAGTCACCTCACTGGCAGACAGAGCAGGAAAGAAGTCACCTCACTGGCAGACAGAGCAGGAAAGAAGTCACCTCACTGGCAGACAGAGCAGGAAAGAAGTCACCTCACTGGCAGACAGAGCAGGAAAGAAGTCACCTCACTGGCAGACAGAGCAGGAAAGAAGTCACCTCACTGGCAGACAGAGCAGGAAAGAAGTCACCTCACTGGCAGACAGAGCAGGAAAGAAGTCACCTCACTGGCAGACAGAGCAGGAAAGAAGTCACCTCACTGGCAGACAGAGCAGGAAAGAAGTCACCTCACTGGCAGACAGAGCAGGAAAGAAGTCACCTCACTGGCAGACAGAGCAGGAAAGAAGTCACCTCACTGGCAGACAGAGCAGGAAAGAAGTCACCTCACTGGCAGACAGAGCAGGAAAGAAGTCACCTCACTGGCAGACAGAGCAGGAAAGAAGTCACCTCACTGGCAGACAGAGCAGGAAAGAAGTCACCTCACTGGCAGACAGAGCAGGAAAGAAGTCACCTCACTGGCAGACAGAGCAGGAAAGAAGTCACCTCACTGGCAGACAGAGCAGGAAAGAAGTCACCTCACTGGCAGACAGAGCAGGAAAGAAGTCACCTCACTGGCAGACAGAGCAGGAAAGAAGTCACCTCACTGGCAGACAGAGCAGGAAAGAAGTCACCTCACTGGCAGACAGAGCAGGAAAGAAGTCACCTCACTGGCAGACAGAGCAGGAAAGAAGTCACCTCACTGGCAGACAGAGCAGGAAAGAAGTCACCTCACTGGCAGACAGAGCAGGAAAGAAGTCACCTCACTGGCAGACAGAGCAGGAAAGAAGTCACCTCACTGGCAGACAGAGCAGGAAAGAAGTCACCTCACTGGCAGACAGAGCAGGAAAGAAGTCACCTCACTGGCAGACAGAGCAGGAAAGAAGTCACCTCACTGGCAGACAGAGCAGGAAAGAAGTCACCTCACTGGCAGACAGAGCAGGAAAGAAGTCACCTCACTGGCAGACAGAGCAGGAAAGAAGTCACCTCACTGGCAGACAGAGCAGGAAAGAAGTCACCTCACTGGCAGACAGAGCAGGAAAGAAGTCACCTCACTGGCAGACAGAGCAGGAAAGAAGTCACCTCACTGGCAGACAGAGCAGGAAAGAAGTCACCTCACTGGCAGACAGAGCAGGAAAGAAGTCACCTCACTGGCAGACAGAGCAGGAAAGAAGTCACCTCACTGGCAGACAGAGCAGGAAAGAAGTCACCTCACTGGCAGACAGAGCAGGAAAGAAGTCACCTCACTGGCAGACAGAGCAGGAAAATACTTACGCCACTGGCAGTAGCGAACTCCGTTCTGATCCACCACACATTTGCTGCCAGGCTGACAGGCCAGCGCCGCACAGGCAGGATCTGCAGCAGAGGAGCGAAGAAAAGGGCAACAGGTGAAGGTATGAATGCTTATGCTGATGCTTATGACGTCATAAGGGCATCGGAATGACACAGGCAGTGTCATCCCTGACAGTGGCAAAGGGGCATTGAAATGACAGCAGCAGTGTGCCTCTGACTGCGGCAAAGGGGCATTGAAATGACAGCAGCAGTGTGCATCTGACTGCGGCAAAGGGGCATTGAAATGACAGCAGCAGTGTGCATCTAACTGCGGCAAAGGGGCATTGAAATGACAGCAGCAGTGTGCCTCTGACTGCGGCAAAGGGGCATTGAAATGACAGCAGCAGTGTGCCTCTGACTGCGGCAAAGGGGCATTGAAATGACAGCAGCAGTGTGCCTCTGACAGCGGCAAGGGTGCGGCAAGAGACGCTGCCCTTCAGAGAAAGGCTGTGTAAATCACGCCCTTCAGAATCACGCCCTTCAGAATCACGCCCTTCAGAATCACGCCCTTCAGAATCACGCCCTTCAGAATCACGCCCTTCAGAATCACGCCCTTCAGAATCACGCCATTCAGAATCACACCCTTCAAAATCACACCCTTCAGAATCACGCCCTTCGAAATCACACCCTTCAAAATCACACCCTTCAGAATCACACCCCTCAGAATCACACCGCTCAGAATGACGCCCCTCAAAATGACACCCCTGAAAATCACACCCTTCAGAATCACACCCTTCAGAATCACACCCTTCAGAATCACACCCTTCAGAATCACGCCCTTCAGAATCACGCCCTTCAGAATCACGCCCTTCAGAATCACGCCCTTCAGAATCACGCCCTTCAGAATCACGCCCTTCAGAATCACGCCATTCAGAATCACACCCTTCAAAATCACACCCTTCAGAATCACGCCCTTCGAAATCACACCCTTCAAAATCACACCCTTCAGAATCACACCCCTCAGAATCACACCGCTCAGAATGACGCCCCTCAAAATGACACCCCTGAAAATCACACCCTTCAGAATCACACCCTTCAGAATCACACCCTTCAGAATCACACCCTTCAGAATCACGCCCTTCAGAATCACGCCCTTCAGAATCACGCCCTTCAGAATCACGCCCTTCAGAATCACGCCCTTCAGAATCACACCCTTCAAAATCACACCCTTCAAAATCACACCCTTCAGAATCACGCCCTTCGAAATCACACCCTTCAAAATCACACCCTTCAGAATCACACCCCTCAGAATCAAACCCCTCACAATGACGCCCCTCACAATGTCACCCCTCAAAATGACACCCCTGAAAATCACACCCTTCAGAATCACACCCTTCAGAATCACACCCTTCAGAATCACGCCCTTCAGAATCACGCCCTTCAGAATCACGCCCTTCAGAATCACGCCCTTCAGAATCACGCCCTTCAGAATCACGCCCTTCAGAATCACGCCCTTCAGAATCACGCCCTTCAGAATCACGCCCTTCAGAATCACGCCCTTCACGTCCACTGAACGTACCAGTTGTGCTGCCGGTGGTGGTGGTCTCTAGTGCAATCCGCGCATTGACCTTCCTGCTTCCTGTCTCTGCCTCTGCGCCTTCCCCATACGCGCCTTTCCGCATCATGGTCCGCAGCAGGCTACGGTGTGTCATGATTCTTCTCACTGAGTCGTCGCCATGCGCTGCCTTCATCATCTGAACTGCTGCAGAGGACACGGGAGAGGGTGTGCAGGGAGGAGAACAGAGAAAAGCTATGAGAGAGCAGATATGAGAGAGTAGAGATGAGAGAGCAGATATGAGAGAGCAGAGATGAGAGAGCGGATATGAGGGAGCAGAGATGAGAGAGCGGATATGAGAGAGCAGAGATGAGAGAGCAGATATGAGAGAGCAGAGATGAGAGAGCAGATATGAGAGAGCAGAGATGAGAGAGCAGATATGAGGGAGCAGATATGAGAGAGCAGATATGAGAGAGCGGATATGAGGGAGGAGAGATGAGAGAGCAGATATGAGGGAGCAGATATGAGAGAGCAGATATGAGGGAGCAGATATGAGAGAGCAGATATGAGAGAGTAGATATGAGAGAGCCGATATGAGAGAGCAGAGATGAGAGAGTAGATATGAGGGAGCAGATATGAGAGAGCAGATATGAGAGAGCAGATATGAGAGAGCAGATATGAGGGAGAAGATATGAGAGAGCAGATATGAGAGAGTAGATATGAGGGAGCAGATATGAGAGAGCAGATATGAGGGAGCAGATATGAGAGAGCAGATATGAGAGAGCAGATATGAGAGAGCAGATATGAAGGAGCAGAAATGAGAGAGCAGATATGAGAGAGCAGATATGAGAGAGCAGATATGAGAGAGCAGATATGAGGGAGCAGATATGAGAGAGCAGATATGAGAGAGCAGATATGAGGGAGCAGATATGAGAGAGCAGATATGAGAGAGCAGATATGAGAGAGCAGATATGAGAGAGCAGATATGAGAGAGCAGATATGAGAGAGCAGATATGAGAGAGCAGATATGAGAGAGCAGATATGAGAGAGCAGATATGAGAGAGCAGATATGAGAGAGCAGATATGAGAGAGCAGATATGAGAGAGCAGATATGAGAGAGCAGATATGAGAGAGCAGATATGAGAGATCAGAGAGGGAAGCGAAAAGAGAATCGAGCTGAAGAGGTGGAAAACGAGGCGAGCAGGAAGGAGGGAGCAGGGGGACTGCATGAACCCAATTCAAGGCTTACGAAATCAATTCAAGTGCTGGCCACAAGCCAAAGATACTGCAGCAATGAGAGCAGCGGACTGACCGCAGATGAGCGCAAAGGCGAGCAGCAGGAGTCCGGCAGGAAAGGCGCGCATCGACCCCATGATGATGACGTGGGATTCGCGGCGTGAGAGAGGCGGGCGGAAGGTTGGCGGAAGAGGCGCGAGAAGCACAGCAACAATGGCGCAAAAGAGGCGGAACAGAGGCGCAATAGAGGCGAAAGAGAGACGCAGCAGACGCGCTGTGTGCTGTGCGAGTCACGGGTGGAAGAATAACAGCTTGCAAGTTCCAAGTTGGGGACTGTCACTGTGTGCATGAACAGCACGGCGCTGATCTGGTATTTGCTGTATACTGCGAGTGACGAGCGCGATTCAGCATGACAGTCCTCAAGATATCGTCATCGTGATTATTATTGATACTATTACGGATACCTTCGAGTTTCCGCAAGGTATCCGTGTGATGTGACTACGGAGACCTTGCGCCACATATAATGCAGTGTTTGGCCTCTGCGAGTCTACGTTTTAAAAGTAGACCCCCGCCAACGTTTCCGTGACAATTGCGCCCCATATAATGCAAGGACGATTATGGGAGCCGCGATATGCGCTGGTATGGCTTCCCTTGAGTGATTACTCGAATGCAAAGACGAAATCGCTCTGGATTTTGAGAAACGCGATGCGTGCGACGACAGTGATTGGCGGAGCGTCTATCATAGTGAATCGCACACATGCTAACAAGTGTTCTTTCCGGTTCGTTGCTTCTTCCTTAGCGACTTCCAATTCGGCTCGGCAGTGAAAAATGCGCGATTAGGCGAAATTCTCATGAGACCAGCTGCTGCATTATATATGTAAAGCCTAGGGTGTTAGCTTTCTGTTGGTCGGCTGGGTGTTTGGGTGACGCGTTTCGTGAATCTGGGGTAACCCTAAGCACGCATTACCTCTTTCGATTTTGCACGATCGAACCTGCGCAGGTTCGAAACGTCACGCGGAGGTTCGGAACGTTCAGAATGCAACGAACGAGCAACATTTCAGTGCGGGCGACGATCGGTCTCGCACGACCGATCGTTCAAAAATGAAGAGGTAACGCGTCCTAAACTTAGACAGACATATAACGCAGCTGTTCGTCTCGAGAAAAAAATCTCGTTGTCGCATATCGCCCCACTGCCGAACCTGATTGGAAAGCTCTTGTGCGATTGATGTGTGACTCGTGAACGACAGTGCATCACGACACGCCTCTCCAATAATGTCGTTCTTGCGACTCACCCGACTCAAGCACCACGTGACCTGTGGACACCCCGCCAATCGCTGCCGTCGCTCGCATTGCTTTCCCAAAAATGAGAGCCAAGCCTTTAGTGTTGTATACCGCCGCCGCGCTCCTGTAATTATACGAGACTCGCGCTTCGAAATTATATGTGACTCATGGTTCCAGAGATACCAGCGCGCTCTGTAATTATATGTGACTTACTGTAGCCGACGCGCACCTACAATCATATGAGGCACTTTCTCGTGGCGCCTGAGGCGCCGCGGCTGCCATGCTGAATCGCGCCGCTTGTAGTAAGCTCGCAATTGATAACAGCCCAGCAGTCCCATTTCCAACTTGGAAAGCAACGCCTTTCTTCCCATTCCTGTCTGAACTCGAGACCCGTGACTCCCACGTGAGAGCACAGCTTTCGTCTGCCTTGTCGCGCCTCTGTTTGCGCCTCTGTTTGCGCCTCTGTTTGCGCCTCTCTCACCGTCCCTTCCGCCGCCATTCCCGCGGGACCCCCGCCGTCATCATCATGGGGTCGATGCGAGCCTCTCCTGCCGGACTCCTGCTGCTCGCCCTTGCCCTCATCGCTGGTCAGTCCGCTGCTCTCACATTGCCTTCTCTCTCATTGCCTGCTCTCTCATTGCCTTCTCTCACATTCCTTTGATTTGTTCGCCTTTCTCCCTAAAGTTATCCCTTGCCCTCAGGCGGTCATTCCGCTGCTCTCTCATTCAAGGAAGTTCCTTTGATTCGTAAGCCTTTTTTTCCCTGTTCTCTCCGCCTCTCCTGCTCGCTTCGTTTTCCACGCCCTCAGACTCTTCTTTCCCCCCTCTGCTCTCATATATCTGCTCTCTCATATCTGCAGCAGTTACGATGATAACGGCAGCTCATGGCGACGACTCAGTGAAACGCATCATCACTCACCGTAGCATGCTGCGAAGCATGATGCTGAAAGGCGCGTATGGGGAAGGCGCAGAGGCGGAGACAGCAAGCAGGAAGGGCAATGCGCGGATTGCGCTAGAGACCACCAGCACTGGCAGCACCCCTGCTGACACCCCTGCTGACAGCACCAGCACCACCACCGGTGGCGGCACTAGCAGCACCAGCACTGGCAGCACCACTGGCAGCACCAGTGGTAAGTTCAGAGGGTGTGATTGTGAAGGGCGTGATTCACTCTGCCTTCAGAGGGGCGATTTCTCTTTTGGCGTGTCTCAGTCTACCGCGCCGTCTTGCATTTGTCTGCCATACCACATTCTTGCCATACCACATTCTCAGTACCCTGCCGTCTCTGTCCTGACTTTTGAGTCTCTGTCCTGACTTTTGAGTCTCTGTCCTGACTTTTGAGTCTCTGTCCTGACTTTTGAGTCTCTGTCCTGACTTTTGAGTCTCTGTCCTGACTTTTGAGTCTCTGTCCTGACTTTTGAGTCTCTGTCCTGACTTTTGAGTCTCTGTCCTGACTTTTGAGTCTCTGTCCTGACTTTTGAGTCTCTGTCCTGACTTTTGAGTCTCTGTCCTGACTTTTGAGTCTCTGTCCTGACTTTTGAGTCTCTGTCCTGACTTTTGAGTCTCTGTCCTGACTTTTGAGTCTCTGTCCTGACTTTTGAGTCTCTGTCCTGACTTTTGAGTCTCTGTCCTGACTTTTGAGTCTCTGTCCTGACTTTTGAGTCTCTGTCCTGACTTTTGAGTCTCTGTCCTGACTTTTGAGTCTCTGTCCTGACTTTTGAGTCTCTGTCCTGACTTTTGAGTCTCTGTCCTGACTTTTGAGTCTCTGTCCTGACTTTTGAGTCTCTGTCCTGACTTTTGAGTCTCTGTCCTGACTTTTGAGTCTCTGTCCTGACTTTTGAGTCTCTGTCCTGACTTTTGAGTCGCTGTCCTGACTTTTGAGTCTCTGTCCTGACTTTTGAGTCTCTGTCCTGACTTTTGAGTCTCTGTCCTGACTTTTGAGTCTCTGTCCTGACTTTTGAGTCTCTGCCCTGACTTTTGAGTCGACTCAAAAGTCACCTAGCAAACATCGTCTTGCCTAGTTTACGACGTTCCGTCGTTCCGATGCCCTTATGGTGCGTGAAAGCATTCATATCTTCGTCTGTTGCCCCTTTCTCTTCACTTCAGTTGCTGCAGATCCTGCCTGTGCGGGGTTGGGCTGTGAGCCGGATGGCACCTGTGAGGTGGATCAAAACGGAGGGCGCTACTGCAAGTGGGGTGAGTGAGAGTTTAGCTCCTTTGCTTCACGCTTTCACGCAGCCCTCTCTCCTCTGTTCCCTGCGTCGACGCTGCCTATGCGGCGTTGGGCTGTGAGCCGGATGGCAAATGTGTGGTGGGTCAAGCTGGAACGCGTTCCTGCCAGTGGGGTGAGTGAGCATGGCGTTCCTGCCAGTGGGGTGAGTAAGCATGGCGTTGCTGCCAGTGGGGTGAGTGAGCATGGCGTTGCTGCCAGTGGGGTGAGTGAGCATGGCGTTGCTGCCAGTGGGGTGAGTGAGCATGGCGTTGCTACCAGTGGGGTGAGTGAGCATGGCGTTGCTGCCAGTGGGGTGAGTGAGCATGGCGTTGCTGCCAGTGGGGTGAGTGAGCATGGCGTTGCTACCAGTGGGGTGAGTGAGCATGGCGTTGCTGCCAGTGGGGTGAGTGAGCATGGCGTTGCTGCCAGTGGGGTGAGTGAGCATGGCGTTGCTACCAGTGGGGTGAGTGAGCATGGCGTTGCTGCCAGTGGGGTGAGTGAGCATGGCGTTGCTGCCAGTGGGGTGAGTGAGCATGGCGTTGCTACCAGTGGGGTGAGTGAGCATGGCGTTGCTGCCAGTGGGGTGAGTGAGCATGGCGTTGCTGCCAGTGGGGTGAGTGAGCATGGCGTTGCTACCAGTGGGGTGAGTGAGCATGGCGTTGCTGCCAGTGGGGTGGGTGAGCATGGCGTTGCTGCCAGTGACATGAGTTGTTTTCTGCTCTGCAATGGAGGTGGTGCCAGAAAGGCGAGTTCTTTCCACACAGGCAGTGGTTAAGGGAGTTGCAAGGGAGGTGATTGCGGTGGTTAAGGGAGGTGCAAGAGAGGTGGTTACTTCTTTCCTTCTCTGCCAGTGCGGTGAGGATGGAGGTTCATGGACGCTCCCGCTTTCCTACGCCCTCAAGGCATGCATTCGTACATGTTGTATGAGGATGGAGGTTCATGGATTCCACACATGCAGCGAGGAAATAACGACCACAGGAAGGTTCCTTTTGGGGTTATGGATGACAGCTCCACCACCACAGGAAGGTTCCTTTTGAGGCTCTCGAAAATAGAGCATCGGAATGACTGCTGCAGTGTGTGCCTTTTAAGTCGGGGTTCCTTAAAAGGCACACACTGCAGCAGTCATTCCGATGCTCTATTTCCGATCCCTCTTCCTTACTTCTTCCCTCTTCCTTGCTTCTTCCCTCTTCCTTGCTTCTTCCCTCTTCCTTGCTTCTGCCTCTACCTTGTTTATCCCCTCTTCCTTGCTTCTGCCTCTACCTTGTTTATCCCCTCTTCCTTGCCCCTCTGCCTTGCTTCCCCCTCTGCCTTGCTTCCCGCTCTGCCTTGCTTCCCCCTCTGCCTTGCTTCCCGCTCTGCCTTGCTTCCCCCTCTGCCTTGCTTCCCGCTCTGCCTTGCTTCCCTCTCTGCCTTGCTTCCCGCTCTGCCTTGCTTCCCGCTCTGCCTTGCTTCCCGCTCTGCCTTGCTTCCCCCTCTGCCTTGCTTCCCCCTCTGCCTTGCTTCCCCCTCTGCCTTGCTTCCCCCTCTGCCTTGCTTCCCCCTCTGCCTTGCTTCCCCCTCTGCCTTGCTTCCCGCTCTGCCTTGCTTCCCCCTCTGCCTTGCTTCCCCCTCTGCCGTGCTCCCCCCTCTGCCTTGCTTCCCCCTCTGCCTTTCTCCCTGCTTCACTGCTACTTCCCTCTCCCGCGCATCTCCCTTGCTTGCCTTGCTGTGCCCTTCTGACTCACCCTGAGTCTCTCCTTAAGATTATCACTTTTGAAGATTCTCGGAAAAAAAAGAAAAAATCTCAAAAGTGATTTCCATACTCTCCCGCGCTTCTTTCGCGCACCTCCACCACCCCCCATCAGACTCACCCTGTGGCGCCTGCCCCTCTGGTGCCCCAATCTCCCACTAACATTGCACTCACATACTGCACTGCACCCATCCCTACCCCTCAGACTCACCCTGTGGCGCCTGTCCCGCTGGAGCCACCTGCAAGACCATGCCTGCAGCAAGCAACAGTTCGGTGCCGGTGCCTTACTGCGCGTGCCCTGAAGGCTATGGGATGACCCCGACTGACTGTGTTCAGGGTGAGATTCTCATTCTTTTATGGATTCTTGCTCTAATCTTCTCACCCTCTCCTCTCCCCCACTCATCCCACTCTCAGCTTCACCTTTCTTGCTGTCCCATGTAAGAACGTGAGAAAAGAGATGTTACAGGGTGTTTTTGAGAATTCTCAAAAACACCCTGCAGACGTCTCAAAACATCTCTTTTATCACGTTTCTTGCTGTCCCATATAAGAATGTAGGAATATGTAAAGGTGCAAACAAACATCACACTGAGTCCTTTTTTGTTCCACTCATTCTCAGGTGTAGAATCAACGGTCTCTTCCAGCGGAATGACCATCATCGGGAATCGAACAGCCAAGGACAAGGATTCCCGGCCCTACACCTTCCGCCTCAACCCGAATGCTTGCACTCCTTTCCCTGATGCAATCGTTCGGACCTTCAGCACGCTTTATACTATCGCAAACATCCCGGATGCTCCGAGGTGCCCCAGAATGAATCTTTACGCAACTAATAACTGCCAAGGCAATCCGACAGCCAGCTTCCTTACAAACACGCGGCCGCTTTTTGCAACCTATGCACTGTGAGTGACTGATCGTGTTCCACCCACACACCTGCACAGCTGTTCCACTTCCCTTTTTGCCAAGCATCAAAGGTGTAACTTAACTGCTTGTTGAGGCATCCTATCCTCTTTGTCCTCCCTTTGAACCATTCATCAGGGACTTTGTAAATGATGGTCAGATACTCTCAGTGATGTGCACTCCCGCTGACAACACCACCACTGGCAGCACCACTGCCGGTGGCAGCATCACCACTGGCAGCACCAGCAGCACTGCTGGCAGCACCAGCAGCACCGCTGGCAGCACCATTGGCAGCACCACCACTGGAAACATCACAGGCAGCACCAGTGGTACGTTTCAGAGGATGTGATTCTGAAGGGTGTGATTCTGAAGGGTGTGATTCTGAGGGGTGTGATTCTGAATTTTGTGGTTCTGAAGGGCGTGATCTTGAAGGGCGTGACTCTGAAGGGCGTGATTCTCAAGGGCATGATTTACAATGCCTTTTTCTGAAGGGCAGTGTTTCATGTGGCCCCCCTGCTACTGTCAGAGGCACACTGCCGCTGTCATTTCAACGCCCTCTTGCTGCTGTCAGGGATGGCTGCTTTTGAGTCGACTTAAAAGGCACACACTGCAGCAGTCATTCCGATGCTCTATTTCCGCTGTCAGAGATTAGATGACACTGCCAATGTCATTCCGATGCCTGTATGGTGTGCATAAGCATTCATACCTTAAGACGTCCATAAGCATTCATACCTTAAGACGTCCATAAGCGTGCATACCTTAAGACGTCTATAAGCATTCATATCTATACCTGTTGCCCTTTTCTTCTCGCCTCTGCTGCAGATGATCCTGCCTGTGCGGCGCTGGCCTGTCAGCCTGGCAGCAAATGTGCCGTGGATCAAAACGGAGGGCGCTACTGCCAGTGGCGTAAGTATTTCCTTGCTCTGTCTGCCAGTGAGGTGACTTCTTTCCTGCTCTCTCAATGAGTGGAGCCACAACCACGCCCATCCCTCACCCCATCCATTCCCTCTCCCGTGCTTCCTGCGTTCTTCAGCCTCTTTCAGTGGTGCCTGTCCCTCTGGAGCCGCAATTCCCCCATTGCATTCACTCACATACCGCACTGCACCCATCCCCGCCCCTCAGCCTCGCTCTGTGGCGCCTGCCCCACTGGAGCCACGTGCAAAACTAAGCTGACATCTGACTCAACCTTGTCAGTTCCGTACTGTTCCTGCCCCGATGGCTATGGGATAACCACAACCGACTGTGTTCAGGGTGAGCCTCATTGATGCATGCTCTCGTGATATTGAAGTGTTTTTGAGACGTCTCAAAAACACCATCCAACTGTGTTCAGAGTGAGCCTCGTTGATGCATTCTCTCCCCACCCGCCCCATTCTCCCCAATCCCATTCACCCCACTCTTTGCTTCACCTTCCTCACTCTGCCAAGTTGATCGAATGCTCGTGGGAATGTGGCAATGTATGTAGGAGTGTTTGAACGTCCTTCCTTTGTGCCCTTCGTTTATCACAGGTAGACATCTCACCGTCTCTTCCTACAGCTATCCATACGTTGAAATTATTTTTGAGAATTCTCAAACGTGATTCCAACAATGTGCTGAGTCCTTCCTTTGTGCCGGTGACCAACACTGTTCTCACTCCTTCCTTTGTGTCCCTCTTTATCACAGGTAGACATCCCACCGTCTCTTCCTACAGCTACACATACGTCATGAACGACACGTATGCCTATACCTTCCGCCTCAGGCTGAATGTGTGCACTCCGATTCCGGAAAGAGCGCTTGGCCTGGTCACGATAATCTATGGCATGGACAACATTGGCGATGCTCCCGCTTGCAGCAATATTAAATTCTATGATTCGAATTATTGTCAAGGCAAAGCATTCTACGAAGAGTGGCCACTCGAGCAAGCATTTCAGGACCTTTTGAGGGGACATGCTATAACGTAAGAGATTGATCCTGTTCCACCTGCATTGTGAGTGATTGGTTGTTCTCCTCTTGCACGCCTGCACATCTTCTCCTCCTCCCTTTCGTCACCAATCATCATAGGTGAAACCTTGAGACTCATCACATCTTGTCCTTATTGTCCTCCCATTTGTTCCCATTTACCAGGGGCCAGCAGTACGTTACAGGCGGCTCAATCATGTGCAGGTAGGATGGCTCGGGATGGCGACACTGACTATGTTGTCATGTGCAAATGCTTCAAATAGGATGGTTTCTCTCCTCCATTGATTATGTTCCTCTTCTCCTTTTTAGTCAGAGAGACCCCTTCTCTCTTTCGCTAGATGGAGACCCGGTGCAGAATGTTTGAGCCGGGCATTGCACTTGTGTTAGGGGTGTCTGCTGGATAAACGTTTGTAGTAGAGCTGTACGTGGTGTGCTTGAAAAGTAGCTGTACTCTCTATAGGGTTTTATTGAATTCCGTTTCAGCTGTGGTCCTGAGTGTTCAGAAACGCACCCCCGCAGCAAAACAAGGGAAAGTATATCCCAGATCCTTACTTTCAAAAATCTCTCATATTTAGTCCCAGGTTTACTCAAAAAGCACCAATTTCTATAACTTCTCTCACGCGAGGCCCAAAGTATGTTCAAAACTGGTCCTGCAGGGCGAAGTTTTCGAAACGTGTCCATTTTCGCGTCAGTTCATTTTCGACGGGGTAAAAAAAATAAAACCCCTAGGGAACCAGGACACATTTTCGGGAGGGATCAACCCTAAACACGGGGACTCGCTTGGTGTTTAGGGTTGATCCCTCCCGAAAATGTGTCCTGGTTCCCTAGGAGTTTTATGTTTTTTACCCCGTCGAAAAAAAACCGACGCAAAAATGGACACGTGTCGAAAAGTTTGCCCCGCAGGACCAGTTTTGAACACACTTTGGGCCTCGCGTGAGTGAAATCCCTGAAATTCATACTTTTTGAGTAAAACTGGGCTAAATATGAGAGAATTCTGAAAGTAAGGAGCTGGGATGTACTTTCCCGCAAAACAATCACACATCGTTTTCCTACCATAGCATTTTCATCCTGAGTCGTGGCGACCAATAGAAGAATCACACTGGTTGCGTTGCGTCCTTTTTCGCGAAGGTGCTTCGCTGCGGCCAGCCAGCGTCTGAATTAGCCAATCTCGCGACTGTGTTCCGCGTTTGCTTTCGACCCGAACCCAAGTCTCTGCGGTAACTGGAACCTGAACGGCCTTCACCGCAGTGTTAGAAACAGAACAGACACGACCTTGGGACCAAACCTGGTTCGGACGGAACAGATGTCAGAAACGTCACACGAGTTCGAAATTCTGAATTGAACGCGTCGCTCGAAAACATCCAGTCCACCAACAGAAAGCATCTGGCTTCGGCTTTTTTCTGATAGTTTACTATGTAGGCCCACCAACAGAAAGCAGAAATCCGTCGCTTCTGTCTGCGACTACTATGTAGGCCATATAATGCAGCTGCTGGTCTCGTGAGAATTTCGAATAGTCGCACATTCCCACTGCCGAGCCTGACTGGAAGTCTCTAGGGAAGAAGCGACGAACAGGAAAGGGCACGTGTTACTACTGTTAGTCGTGACTCGTGATTCGTGAACCACAATGCCCTGCGTTTTCCTCTCCAATGATTCCGTTAATGCGATTCACTCGATTTACGCACAACCTGACTTTGCATATGCGATTCGTTATAAACTTTCCGCCAATCGCTGTCGTCGCACACATCGCGTTCTCAAAATCCAAAGCGAGTTCGTCTTTGCATTCGAGCGATCACCCAAGCGAAGCCATACCAGCGCATATCGCGGCTCCTATAATCGTCCTTGCATTATATTTGGCGCAATCGTCACCGTGACGGTGACACTTTTGAGGCGCCTCAAAAGTAGACTCGCAGGAGCCAAACACTGCATTATATGTTGCGCAAGGTATCTTTAGTACCAATAATCATCACGATGACGATAGCGCCGCGGGGGCTGTCATGCCGAATCGCGCTCGTCACTCACGGTATATAGTAAACACCAGATCAGCATGGTGCTGTCCATGCACACTGTGACAGTCCAATTCCCAACTTGGAACTTGCAAGCTGTTATTCTTCCACCCGTGACTCGCACAGCACACAGCGCGTCTGCTGCGTCTCTGTTGCGCCTCTGTTGCGCCACTGTTGCCCATCTTTTGCGCTTCTCGCGTCTTTTCCACCAACCTTCCGCCCGCCTCTCCCACGCCGCGAATCCCACGTCATCATCATGGGGTCGATGCGCGCCTCTCCTGCTGGACTCCTGCTGCTCGCCCTTGCGCTTATTTGCGGTCAGTCTGCTGCTTTCATTGCTGCAGTACCTTTGACTTGTGGTCAGCCCTTGACTTGATTCGTAAGCCTTGAATTGGTTTCATGCCGTCCCCCCTGCTCCCTCCTTCCTGCTCGCTTCGTTTTCCACCTCTTCAGCTCATTTCCCCTCTCTGCTCTCTCATATCTGTCCTCTCATAGCTTTTTTGTGTTCTGCTCACTGCACACCCTCTCCCTTGTCCTCTGCAGCAGCTCAGATGATGAAGGCAGCGCATGGCGACGACTCAGTGAGAAGCATCATGACACACCGTAGCCTGCTGCGAAGCATGCTGAAAGGCGCGTTTGGGGAAGGCGCAGAGGTGGAGACAGCAAGCGGGAAGGGCAATGCGCGGATTGCGCTAGAGACCACCACCACTGGCAACACCGGCAGCACCAGCAGCAGCACCACCGGCAGCACCAGCAGCACCACCGCCGGCAGCACCCTTGTTGACAACACTCTCGCTGACAACAACTCCCCTGTTGACACCCCTGTTGACACCCCTGCTGACACCCCTGCTGACAGCACCAGCACCACCACCGGCAGCACTGACAACACTGGAAGCACCATCGACAGCACCAGTGGTAGGCTCAGAAGACGTGATTGTGAAGGGCGTGATTGTGAAGGGCGTGAGTCACTCTGACTTCCTCTGAAGGGCGATTTCCCTCGTGGGGTAGCTCAGTCCATCGCAACGCCCTCTTGCCTCTGTCTCTGACATGCACACACTGCCTACGGCATTCCTGTACCCAGACGTCTATAGGCGTTCCCATCTCTTGCCTGTGCGTGCCCTCACATACCATACTGCACCCATCCTCACCCCTCAGACTCACTCTGTGGCGCCTGTCTCACTGGCGCCACCTGCAAGGCCATGCCTGCAACTGACAACAGTGGGTTGCAGGTGCCTTACTGCACGTGCCCGGAAGGTTACGGGATGACTCCGACCAGTTGCGTTAAGGGTGAGTTTTGAGGCGCCACTATAGCCTCATGCATAGCCGGTGCCTTACTGCGCGTGCGTGCCTGGAAGGCCATGGGATGACTATGACCAGTTGTGTTAAGGGTGAGTTTTGATTTGAGGCGTCGCAACATTCTCATGCATTGCCCGTGTCTTACTGCGCGTGCCCTTAAGGCAATGGGATGAAAACGACCAGCTGTGTGAAGGGTGAAATCCTTCGACACATTTTGAGGCGCTTCAAATGTTGCTCTGATCTGCACATTCTCTCCTCTCCCTGTGCGCCCCACTCCTTCCCACTCGCCCTACTTTCCACTCTTCGCACTCGTCCCGCTCTCCCCTTCCCCCACTCACCCCACTCCCCCCTTCCCCCACTCACCGCACTCCCCACTTCCCCCACTCACCGCACTCCCCCCTTCCCCCACTCACCCCACTCTCCCCTTCCCCCACTCACGCCAGAGCAACGGCTCTGCCTAGTTGGTTGAACAAATGATGCTGGTCTAAGATGCATGTATGCAAGGAGCTGCAAGGAAACACTACCCTCATCAAGCGACCCCTTTTTTGTGCCACTCTTTTGCAGGTGGACCGTCAACAGTCTCCTCCTCAAGCGTCACCCTGTTCTCAAATGAAACAGGGGCGTTTCAACCCTACACCTTCCGCCTCAACATCACGGGCTGCACCCAAATCCCAGAGGCACTGGCAGGAAAGGCCACTATAATGTGTATGGTTCACAATGTGGGCACTGTTCAGAATTGCCCGGCTGTCAACATCTTCTCAAAGCCTAACTGTGAATCTCCATACGCATACTATGATTCAAAGTCAACGCCTCCGTCGCTTATGGCCCGATGCTTCCCGTGAGTAATCAGTCCCTTTCCACCCCGGCCGCATGGAGCCTTTTCACTTCCTGTTTTGCACCAGTCATCAGTGACAAACCCTTTTTAGGAGTCTATTCAATCCCCCCCCCCCCCCCTCTCCCCCCCTCCCCCTCTCCCCCTTCCTTGTTACTGTTATCCAGGGACAATTTCGCTCTGCGTGATTACAAGTATGTTATCTCTTTGGGGTGCACTGCCATTGTAGAGTTCCCCAAATGATGCCCCCCAAATGATGACCCCCTTAGGGTTCAGCCATTGAGAATAGAAACTACTGCATATTTTCCTGTGGCTTGTCCAAGCTACTCCTCATTCATGTTCCAGTGGTTCAGTAAAATAATTTTCTCATCCTACCACAATTGATTTCTCAAAGCCACCCAGCATCCGGCACACACAAACGTAAATTTCTCGGTGATAATTTTACAGAAAAACATCAAACAAGGGGAGGAACAAAAAGGCAAGCACTGACATGGCATGCTGCCAAGGCGGAACACTCACACACTGCCAAAGAGGCTTTCTTTTTCACACACTAAACGACTTGAGCATTTTTCTGAGCTTGGCTTCACCGGAAGCCCACTGCTTGTCGTTTGCACTGATCACCAGAAGCAGCACGGTGCTGCCCTTGGCCGTGGCAGACGCCAGGTTGTAGGCGCCTGAGCGTGCATAGGGCGTCTCCATGTAGTACTCGTAGTACTGTGGTGGGTGTGGGGGGGGGGGGGGGGGGGGGTGTGGGGTGTGGGGTGGGGATGGGGGAGAAAGACGAGGTCTACTAAGGGGTTGCATTGAGAAGCAGCACGGTGCTGCCCTTGGCCGTGGCAGATGCCAGGTTGTAGGCGCCTGAACGTGCATAGGGCGTCTCCATGTAGTACTCGTAGTACTGTGGTGGGTGTGGGGGGGGGTGGTGGTGTGGGGTGGGGATGGGGGAGAAAGACGAGGTTTACAAAGGGGTTGCATTGAGAAGCAGCACGGTGCTGCCCTTGGCCGTGGCAGATGCCAGGTTGTAGGCGCCTGAGCGTGCATAGGGGGTTTCCATGTAATACTCGTAGTACTGTGGTTGGTGAGAAGGAAAGGGGAGGAGGGGGGAGGAAGGGCGGGGGGGAAGAAGGGATTGTGAAAGAACAGGATTCACGTAGCTTTCAGCAGCAGCACGGTGCTGCCCTTGGCCGTGGCAGATGCCAGGTTGTCGGCGCCTTCACTGCGCAGGGAGTTTCCATGTAGTACTCGTAGTACTGTGGTGTGTAGGGGAGGGGGGTGGGGAGGTAAAGAAAGGGTTTACATGGAGAATGCTTTTAGTGGGGATAGGGTGTCTCCATGTAGTAATCATAGTACTGTGGTGTGCGGGGGGGGGGGGGGGGGGGGGATTGGGAGGGATTTGGGAGGAATCTTATCAAGTGGGAGATCTTTATAAGTGGGAGAATTTTATCCCCGTTACAAGCACTCTAAGAACGCCCAGGCGTCTCCATGTAGTTCTGCTGGTACTGTGGTGTGCGGAGGGATTGGGAAACTACGAGTTATACATGAAGAGTGCTTCTGAGTCGACTCAAAAGTCTGCTGGTACTGTGGTGTGCGGGGGGATTGGGAAACTACGAGTTATACATGAAGAGTGCTTCTGAGTCGACTCAAAAGTCTGCTGGTACTGTGGTGTGCGGGGGGATTGGGAAACTACGAGTTATACATGAAGAGTGCTTCTGAGTCGACTCAAAAATCTGCTGGTACTGTGGTGTGCGGGGGGATTGGGAAACTACGAGTTATACATGAAGAGTGCTTCCAGCCGCAGCACAGTGTTGCCCTTGGCAGTGCCTGCATAGCTAGCACTCGTTATGCTGTGAAATGTGTGGGTGTTGGGACAGAGTTGAGAGGAAGTGTGAGGGAAGCAGGGCTGCGTGTCCGGCATATTGGAATTCTCAAAAAACGCGTCCACAACCTTGCATGGAAATGGGCTGCTTGTCATGTCAATCACATGAAGCAGCCCATTCTTACCTAGCCCCTTAACCGACTAACCAATCAACCTCAGCCCCCCTCACAAGAAAGAGCACTTACCATCTAACCGCCCTCCTTACGAACGCGCGTGTCCACCCACGACCTCGGCTGGGTCATATGAATCACCCGCCACCAACGGGCAGAGCGCAGCTACGATGTGCCTCCACCTCCCCCCTCCCTCTCTCCTCCCCAACCCCCCACCACCAATTTCACAAGCAAAGGCACTCACCGTCTGCCCCCTCTCCTTGCGGTTGCGTTTGTCAACAACTTCATCTGCATGGAAAAGGGCTGTTTGTCATGTCAATCATATGAGTTGACTTCTGAATCGACTCAAAAGTTGACTTTTGAGTCGACTCAAAAGTCAACTCTGCACGTGGCCACGACCTCGCATGGAAAAGGGCTGTTTGTCATGTCAATCACATGAAGCAGCCCATTCTTACATGTCAAAAGCCCCTTGTCAACCGACTATCCAATCAACTTCAACAGCCCCTCCCCTCCCCCTCACAAGAAAGAGCACTCACTGTCTGGCCGCCCTCCTTGCGAATGTGCGTATCGAATCGAATCGACGACCTCGTCCGGGTCATACGAGTCCCAGCGCCACTATGATGCGCCCCTACCCCCTCCCACCCACCTCACACCCTTTACGAGCAAAAGCACTCACTGTCTGACCGCCCTCCTTGCGAATGCGCGAGTCAACAACTTCGTCAGGGTCGTACGAGTCGCCCGTCACAAACGGGCCCAGCGCCGCTATGATGCGCTCCGGGATGCAAACTTCCTCTCCTCTCCAGTCAGACTAACTATATGATGCAACCCATTCTTACACATACACACGGCACTCACCGCCTGTACTCCCCTTTTTTACTTTCGAGTCGACTCAAAAGTCATTCTTACACATACACATGGCACTCACAGTCTGTCTGTCTGTCCTCCCCTTTTTGCGAATGCGCATGTCAATAACTTCATCGGGGTCATATGAATCACCGGTGACAAATGGGCCGGGCACTGCTATGATCCCCCCCACCCCACCTTTCCCATTCCACCTCACAAGCAAAAGCACTCACCGTCTGGCCGCCCTCCTTGCGAATGCGCGTGTCCACCACCTCATCAGGGTCGTATGAATCACCGGTGACAAACGGGCCAAGCGCCGCTATGATGCGCTCCGGGGTGCCGATCTCCTCGATGGGCAGCTCGAGCTTGTTGGTCAGGCGCACCATGGGTGATGCCACCACCTGCAGCACAGCATGCACAGCAGCAGCAGCAGCAGCACAGCACAGCACAGCACAGCACAGCACAGCACAGCACAGCAGCAGCAGCAGCACAGCACAGCGCGCGCGGGCCCAGGAAAGCCAAAGATGAGAGAAGGGCTTCTCAAGGATAGACAGCAGGCTGAACACAGCAAACAGGCGTGCCGATCTCCTCGCTGGGCAGCTCGAGATTGTTGGTGAGGCGCACCATGGGTGATGCCACCACCTGGAGAGAGTGCAGGGGGCGGAGGTGGGGATACAACACATTAAGAGAACCAGTAGGCTGAAAAACAGGCAAGACGAGATGATGAGACAGGAGGGTGCCGATCTCCTCGATGGGCACCTGGAACACAGCGCACATGGGCCAGGAAACTCGGGATTTGGGAAAAGGGCTTCTCAAGAATAGGCCTAACAGCAGGGAACAGAGCAAGGTGACCATCAATTGGATGGGCAGCTCATGGGTGATTCACTGACCAACAGCTCCAGCTTGTTGGTCACATCCAAGTGTTGGGCACACCATGGGTGATTCACTGTCATGGAGGCCCAGGGTTCAGTCATAGTGAATACTCGGAATGAAAACACTATGACACGCGGGCTACATCAAGGCAAGGCGCACAGCCCTCACCTGCAGCAAGCCCTCTCTTGGGTCCTCGAACTTGACTTCGATCCACGGCTCGGCGCACTTGGGCTGGCAGTAGTTGCCCGAGAGGATGTTGGCGATGCGCGACTGTGTCCACGTGGGCGGGATGTTGAACGTGTAAGGGGACACGTTGCCTGGGAGGAGGGGGAAGGGGCGCAAGAAGAGGGGGGGATTGATGGTGGCTGGGTCCACGTGGGTCGGATGTTGAACGTGTATGGTGACACGATGCCTGGGAGGAGGGGGAAACGGCCGTAAGCGGGTGGCGGGGAGGGGAGGGGAGGGAGGGGGGGGTGTGTTGGACGGTGGATGGATCCCCATGGGCGGGATGTTGATCGTGTAAGGGGACACGTTGCCTGGGAGGAGGGGGAAAGGGGCGCAAGCGGGTGTGGGGGGAGGGGGGGGGGTTGGATGCTGGATGGGTCCACGTGGGCGGAATGTTGGACGTGGAGGGGATAGGAGGGTGGAGGGATTGGGGAAGGGTGTTTTTGAGAATTCTCAAAAACACCCTGAGGGGATAGGAGGGTGGAGGGATTGGGGAAGGGAGACAAGCAGTTGGGGAGGGAGGGGGAATGGAGGGTGGATGTGAGGAAGGGGAAGACAGGGAATGGGAGGATGAGGAGGGAACAGGCTCTGTGGTCAGGACGGCTTGCGAATGTGTGAGACGGAAGAGGTCGAATTTTGTTTGGGTGTGTGGGGTGATGGGCACGGGAAGAAGAACGGGACAGAGGAGGTGAGGGGATATATAATGAATAATGAAAGAAAATGCAATATCGTGGAGGAGTAATCGGGAGGGTCCGCGGCTGAAGGAGCAGAGCGGAAAGCTTAAAAGGGGGAAAAGGACAACCGAAAAACAGTCGACGTAAACATAACGCAATCTCCTCTTCATAAACTGACCTTATCAAGTCGCTCCATCATTTCGACGCGTTTCGAGCGTAAGACATACTAAATTATAACAACATTTTCTGTCCCTTCCGTTGTCTTCCATGAAAGGCCGGCCTCCCTTTCACACTAAAGCCGCCCGTCTACTTTTCCTTTCATTTGTGAGGGTAAGAAGTAGAAAACTTTGCCAGACTGGGGAAACGCTGACAGAGAAAATGTGAAAAATCGAGGCGTCGGGGCGTCGTGCTCTTACGTGCTCTAAGCGCAGGCTTATCCTTCATTCCCGGAAGGAATTATAAGTTGACTTCAAAGTCAACTCGTCGTGCTCTCACCTGCTCTAAGCGCAGGCGTGTCCTTCATTCCCGGAGTGAATACGACAAACTCGCCATCCTCGGATTTCGGGAGGAACGCCCCAACCTGCTTCGGAACGGTAATAGCGGACGCTTCACTAACGGGTACCATGGGAGAAAGCGCCGCGGCAGCCATTGATAGAAGGACGCTCCGGCGGTCGAGCTGCGAGTTCACGTCATCGTCACGGGATGCTGAGCTGGCAGCAGCACGCGTAAGACGACGTGGAGATATTTTTAAGGCGGAAGGCTGGTTGTTGACGGCATGCGAGACGAAATTGCGTTGAGGAGCGAGGGAGGGGTTGGAGATGGTCGAAAGCGAAGCTTGGAGAGCCGCCATGGCAAAATAATTTTCAGGAATTACAAGAAAGAATGATGCTAACAGGAGGTGAGGTGCTCGCAGAAACAGCGGTGCTAGCAGGAGAGTAGCTAGCAGCACGGGTCCAAGGCCTGCGAACTACTGAACAGTTTTTAGCCAGTTCTGAACAAGAAGCAGACCAGGTGAGTGGCGTCACAGCAAGCACAAGCCTCCTGACAACTGAACAAGAAGCAGACCAGGTGAGTGGCGTCACAGCAAGCACAAGCCTCCTGACAACAAAATATGTATTCTGAAACCTGGTTCTGACCGACAGACTAGCTTCCCTGAGGCGAACTAATTCAGGGAAAAAGCATCTGGCAGTCAGCCATTGATGGCATGCCTACCTAGCCGCATGGATCTGGCCGTTGACGAGCTAACGAAGCGATGGTTACTAGTTGACGAGACGTAGTCAAGAATTCGTCACCCAGTCAAGCCAATGAGGTCCGGGAGGTGACGAAGAACCGTTTGCAGTGTGACGGAACTCGCGAGCCATTGTAACGAGCACCGTTACGCCTAGGACGGCGTCGCAAGATGTGGCAGAACAACGTGTCTGGCCGAATCACAGAAGGATTTTGGTGCTGGCGTGGCAAGCAGGCGACGTGTCCATGTAGTGGCCTGATACTGCTCCTCGCTGACGTGTAATCCAGAAGGTCGACAAGATTCCAGGGCAATTAAATGGAGAAAATATCAAAAAGAGGCCCCAGAGTAGCAGTAAAAGTGACCGACTTGGGGCCTGGTGATCGCGCCCCTACCTCGTACGCCCGAAGCAACCAACACACCTGGGCTGCTAGGCCGAGCCTGGCCTTCTCGCCAGGTCACCACCAACTGGCCTGGGGTTGACGGAATTCGCTAGCGACTCGTCAACCCATAACACAGTGGGTAGTAAAAATAGTTCAGAGTTCTACCCAGAAAAACAACCGTTTCACCCAAAAAGAAGAACATCTCAATGTACAAAAATAAATCCCATTCGGATGGCATATAATTGGGGAAGCATCAACCCTAAACACCATGCGACAAGATGTTTAGGGCTGAGGCCCCTTCGAAGGCATGACCCACGAGAGGAGAATTCGTCAAATTTAAATGTCGAGTCAATTTTTTCGATGCGTGAAGGAAGAATTCGTCACCTTGTGTGGTCAGGTCTGACGGAGCGCGTGGATGAGGCCCGAAATTGGTTGGCCACAGGTCCGGCCCAGGCTCGACGTTTGCGAGACACGAGGCCCCAAGTCGGCACCTTTTCTAGAGCTCTGGGGCCCCATTCTGATCATTTCCCAATTAGGTGCTGGATAAAGAGGAGTGGGGTTGATGATGTGGCAGAGCTTATTCACATCTACATGGAATGGAACATACGGTATGCTAATTTTGTATTGACTGTTATTTCCAATACAAATACAAGGCAATGCATTGCGGAAACTCCCAACCCAACCCACCATACTGGCTACAGCTGACCCCATCAATGTCTCTCTCTGACCCGCTAGCTGTGGAATGTCGAACTGAACCAAACAAGGCATACACAGGATCCTAAGATCCAGAAACTGTGTAGTCTGATGTAAATCCTTCAGCTCTCATCAGCAGAGCCACAAAGTGGTGCTACGGACACTGTAAAGCCATCGCAAAGGCTGCACTAGCCAGCGCAGGCAAGGCTCCGCAAGAAGATACTGGGAGTTGGAACCCACATTGTTGCCTCACTAGGCGAGGGTTCCAATAAGGCTCCGAATGGGTCTTGGATTGGATCCTGTGCCAGCCAGCATAGGCGGCGTGCGTGATGGAGTTGACATGAAGCAGAACGCTGCTGGCACTCCACATTCACAACTTGTGAATGGAATGGCCGTTGTGGAAACCCGGGCCTGGTCCAGCCCAGCCCTTTCAGAAACATGAAGGTTGCATCATCCAACACATGGATTAGCAGACTCAGCTTGCCCGGTAGCTGTCAGGGCAGATCAACAGGGATCCGCTGGCTCCCCTTCCTTTGCTGATGACATCATGCCGAACCTAACTCAATAGGGTTCCGCGGGTCACTGTTGGCTTAGGATGATCAGGAAGAAAGGAAATGTGGATGTCATCGGGACTGGGACAGAAGGGTTTCCCGCATCCAGTTTCGCGCCATTTTTTCAGGATGAGCAGGAAGGTACAGTTGATGTCATTGTCACCGCCCCACACGTCTTCACAAATGGAGGGCCCGCCTTGCACACCCGCATCACCACAGGCCCCTGAACCACCTTCCCCATGAAATTCGGAAACTGGAATTTGTACTGCCGCTGACAGCCCCGCCCAGCTTTTCCTTTACTCAATCGAATGTAACGCTTGTTTTTATTTTTAACCACTGTAACATATTTCGATGTTGGGGGTGTAGGGCAGGATTTCCCGAGCGGAATCAGCACGGCGGCGACGTACGGTCCAGTTTTGCACCAGGGAGTGAAGGTTGGAAATTTCGCCATTCCCGTTTGCGCCGCGCTCCGCACCTGGCGCTGCGTGGAGCTGGCGCTCTGGCTGGCATCCTTGGCTGCGGTTTGCGCTCCCTGGCTTGCAGCCTTTTCCGCCGAATTCGCACTCCGAGCCGCGTTTTTCGAAGCCGAGCTGGCGCTTTTGCCCGTGTTCCGTTTCGCGGAGTTGACGCTCTTGCTGGCGCTCTTTCCAGCTGACGCCGCGCTCTTCTGCATGTTCTGCTGAGCTGTCATGAGCTTCCGGCTGACGTCAGCCTGGATAGATCCGGAGGGGTTTTCCAGTGGCCGCGGCGAGAGGAAGGAGTGGGAGAGGGGGAGGTGTTCAACAGCGCGATTGAGGAGCTCGCCGAGCATGCGACGCAGGCGACCAGTGAACGACTTTTCATAGACGGCTGAGTCTCGAGACTCTTCAGAAGCGAGGTTGAAGCGACTTGCCAGCATGCGACCAGGCGCCGACATGGTTGTTGAATTCCCGCCGCTGCTGCTGTTGTTGCTGCTGCTACCGCTGCCAGTGGTGCTGTTGCTGCTCCCTCCAATCCCTCCACCGTCAATAGAACCACCGCTACTAGCACCACCGTTACTGATTCCCCCACTGCCACTGCCACCCCCACCAGAACCAGCATCCGTGGAATTCCCACCGTTATTAGCACCAGACGTGCTGTTCCCTGACGTGCTATTACCGGTGCTGGGCGGTGGTTGGTTAACAGGCGGGTTGTTAGGAGGCGGCGGAGGGGAGGGGTACTTGGGAGGCGGAGAGGGGGACGGCGGAGAGGGGGAGGGGGATGGGGAGGGGGAAGGGCAGGGGGACGGCGGCGGGCGCGGAGAGGGGGACGGCGATGGTTGTGACGGCTTGATCGTCGCGTCGTAGACGAACGTCACTGTGCTGCCGACGTCCGCCGACTGGATCTTGACGGTTGCTCGCAACAGCGTCTGTGGCGACGAGATTGTGGGGGAGGGGAGGGGGGCATTGGGTAGGGAAGGGAGTGAGGAAATAAAGGATCAGATCAGTGAATGCGAGTAGGGTTGACACGTGGAGGAGGGGTGGTAAGGGAACACCTATGCGGCTGGCCGTCGACCGCCATATAAAACTCGACGATTTGACTTTAGAGTCGACTCAAAAGTCACCTCGTGGCGGGGTGGTAAGGGAACGGCGCCTCTGCGGCTGGTCGTCGACCGCCGTATTAATCACTTGTGCGAATTCTCAAAAGTGATTTCAGCGCGAGTAGGGTTGACACGTGGACGGGTGGTAAGGGAACGCCTCTGCGGCTGGCCGTCGACCGCCGTATAAAACTCGACGATAGCGTTTGAACGGACGAGCGGGAAACGAGGACGATGGAGGGGGGTGAACGGAGGTGAACGATGGAAGGGAGTGTATGCATTCCCCCCATAAGGCGCTGGATTCCCTTGCTTTTCCCCTCACACGTTAATGCCCCTGTCCGACCCAAACTTTTCCTTTCTCCCATCACCACCCATCCCTTCCCCCCCCACTTCCCCCCTCCCCCCACCCCCATTTCGCGCTCATCCAACTCCACTGTAGCCTTTGCGTACCTCGCCGACTGGTAACATCGCGATGGCGAGTTGCGTCGCCATTTTCGTCCCCGCGAAAATTAGTCGAAATGGCGACAGCGGGCCAACCCAACCTCTCCTGCCGCCGTGACGGCCAGAATCTCGAGAGCCCGTAGTACTAGCAGCCGATCCCGGAGTAGTAGCGCCATTACTCGTGCCGCAGGGGTTACTGCTCTGCTGCTGCTTACTCGCAGCGCTCCCCGCAAGGTGCGCTCCGGCGGAAATCAAAAGGTTCGCGGTGTTGCCCCATCCGAGCCGCCGTCTAGAAGGCGTTTCTAGACTCTCCGCGAATGCCGCCGGGTCTGGACCGAAAGTGTGGCCCTCTACTAGCTGATCCGCAGACGCGGCTCGAAGCGAGGTGGTAAAGAGGAGAAGTGAGAGGGAGATGGTGGTGATGAGACTGTCATGTCTCGAAGGCAGCCGCAAACCCATGGCTATTCTGTTACGAGAACTAGTGTAGACCATTCGCGACATTTTAAGAGTCCAGAAGCCTCTCGGGTCGCGACTTGCCGGAGAGACTGCGTCTGACCAAGCTACTCGTTCCCGCTGCTCTTATATTGATCCAATTCTCTAGACCTTAGAACGTCTGACTTCGAACTACCTAGGGTCAATCGACTAGGTTGCCGGGGTAGGGTAGGCACGGTGGGTTGGATAAGTCCGTAGGGTGAAGGTAAGAACACCTCTCGGCTAGAAAGTTGGTGCTGTGGATGTTACCAGGAAGAGGCGCCGTGTGAAAAGCTTGAGTCTATGGACGTCTTGCTTTTCGTTATGGAGCTATCCGCGCAAGCGATTACCTTTCTGGCTAACTCCGCACGGCACAGAACTCCTTTGAAAGATCTTTCATCGGAGATGATGATGAATCCCATGGTCGTCGTTGGTGGTCTCGATAAACTTGTCCTTGATTGAACATCAAGGGCAAGCAACAGCCAGATTATCTGAGGAAGGACGTCGCTAGTTGGGCGCTGGCGACAGCGA